GGAGATGTTAGCGTGCTTTCGGCGTCCAGCGGGGAGCCTGTGCTTTTTAGGGATTTGTGGGATCAAGAGGACGAGGTTTGACTCGATCTAATCTTTGGTTTTTAAGAATCTCGCTCGGATTGAACCGATTTCTCTCTTCTGTGGCGTGAAGTTGGGTTTGACTCGATTCAAGTGTTTGGTGTGCTGTGTGTACCTTTCTTTTCTCAGTTCCTTATTTTGTCCTTTTAATCTTAGAATTTGGAAATTGGTAATACCCATTAGTTCATTGCCTATACTAACTTCCAATTCCCGTCCCATTTTAAAAAAGAAAGAAAGAAAGAAAGAAATTGGTAACCTTGGTTTCAGTACTCGTCAATGAATGGATTACAGTATGCGAATTGGAGAAGAACAAAAATAAGTTTAGAGTGCTGCAGAGCCCTAGAAAATTTGACAAACAACATTAAATATCTTGTTGAGGCTTTTATAATGATATTCACATCGAAATTAGCTACGAAATAACTAGAAGGGTCTTTGTTTGGGCAGAAGCTCAATCATCTATACAAGAAAAACATTGACTTCCTTCTGAGTCATATAAATAATAGTCTTCATCTCGGAAGACCCCTTTAACTTTGGACCACTATCAGATGACCCCCCAATACCTTCCAAAATATCAAAAAGAAAAAAAAAATTAGTTCTGGGTTATCAGAAAAGTTCCTCTAACTTTAAGATTTTATTGTAAGACCCCCTAAACAGCGTTAATAGCAATTTTCACTAGGTAAAATTACATGAGGGGATATTTTTGTCAGCGAAAATTAGGGTTCACACCTTTAAGGGGGTTTTCTGGTATTTTGAAAGTACCCCATGGGGGGTGTTGGTGGTTGGTGTAAGGACAAACCCAGGGCCTAATAGAGTAGGGTCCCAGCGAATAGTAGAGCAGAAATAATAAAACGATCACACAGATTTATGTGAAAGATCCCCTAAATGAATTTGTGATAAAAAAACACGGGCAATGATAGAAGAGTCCATTATGAGAAAAAATTTTTGAGTTATAATCTCTTTAAAAGGAGAAACTCTCTCTATTTTTCTCTCTCACTCTTCTATATGTGGAGTTGTTGTTTCTGGGATGGATTTTTTTGAAGAGTTTTGGGCTTATTTATAGCAGTCGGGAAAATACTATTCATAAAATTTTAATAATTTTTTTCGGTGCGGCTTCTTTTGGTGCAATTAGTTTAGGAGCCCACCACCTTTTTGTTTGTCCATAATTGCTGTTGTCAGCAATTATGGCTGACACTCTCTCACTTAAAGATTTAATTGAGTATCAATCATATCTTCACACCATTTTTTCTATCATGTCATCTTCATGTTGCTCACGTCTCGGACAAACTACAAGAGGATCGACACTAAATAATTTTATCAGTATTGACTACTTTTATCAAAAAATCTGCTAGGTTATCTTTGGTGTGAATTTTCTATATATACATTATTCATTCTTCCACTTTCTCACGAACGAAGTGGTACTGAACTCGAATGTGTTTTGTCTTTGAATAAAAGACCGGATTTCTTACCAAATGTAAAGCACTCCGGCTGTCACAAAATAGAGAAATATTCTTTTGTTCATGTCTGAGTTCCTCCAGTATCATTCTCAACCATTATTTGTTGGAAAATTTATAGTAAATAAAATGAAAGAAATTTGATTTGTATTCTCTCGATCTTAATTATAATTCGAATTCCCTGATTACAAAAGAAAATAGAATTGATCTAAATTCTCCTTTTTATTTAATTCTGGGTTCTTCACGGTGGTGATGAGATGCCTCCCTCGAATGCTCGCGTCGAGTTTTCTTCTCGTTGACGATCCGAACATCTTGTTTCACCAGAACGTGATCTTCTCCTCACGATTTGACGTTGTGGAGAAACTTACAAAACAAGTTTTAGAACTCTGGACGAGTTGATAACTCTGAACGAGTTTGAAACTCTATGAAAGAGTTAATTTAACCAACATCGGTTTATAGCCAAGGATGAAAGCTCTCTGTTGCCGAACGTTACTGAAGGGTAAACGTCGATCTCCCCCTCACTGCCAAACCGAAGATCTCCTCTTCGCTGCCAAGTCCAAGATCCAAAAACCCAGCCGGAGAGAAGCCCCGAACTCAGTTGAGTTTACTCGTTTTTTATAAAGGATTAAGGGGGTGTAATCGCCCCTTAAATCACTCCTAAGTGGGGTGTCACCGCCCCCAAATCGTGGGAAACGATTTAGAACCGTTCAGCTCATGTTGAATGAGTCAAACAACGCCCAAGTTGGCGTTCAGGACCCTAACTCCGCGTTTTAGACTGGAGACACGGAGTTGGGCACCCGTTGGATGTTAAAAAACGCGAGGGTTGCCCGCTAGATGTTAAAAAACGCGAGGGTCGTCCGCTAGATATTGAAAAACGCGAGGATCGTCCGTGTTTTGTTTGCTGAGGGTTGGAAACGCGGGGGTTGCCTGCGTTTCAAGAACTGAAACGCGAAGGTGAATTCCGCGTTTTAGAAGGAGCTAATGACTTATAACTTCTTCTGTAGAGCGTTATAAAGACCATTATTGAGTGATCTTTGTCTTGGCTGTTTTGGGGTGTGAAAGTCGTCAGATTGTAACTTTTATCATCGGTGTTTGATGAGGGATCAGCTATCTATTATGATTTTTAGACAGCCTACAATCATATTGTCTCTTTACTAGCTTGTGCAGCTGATACATATTCAGCTTTCGTTGTTGATGTAGCCATAACTGACTGTAATTTTAAAATCCAGCTTAAAGCTCCGCCAGCAATTGTAAACACATAGCCTATGATAGATTTGTTATTATCACGATCACCTGCATAATTAGAATTAACATATCCATTGCCAATAAAATCTGATCCCCATAACATAATGTAATATTTGAGGTTCCCTTAATGTATCTTAGGACCCTTTTTACATCATTCTAATGCTCTTTATCAGGATTCATCATGTGTCAACTAACCACTCACATTGCTTGTCCAATGTTTGGTCATGTACAAATCATAGCGAACATTAAACTTCCCACTGCTGATGCATACGGTACTCGAGACATCTCCATCCTCTCTTCTTCATAGTTAGGACTCATACTGGAGGATAACTTAAAATTAATAGAAAACAGATTAGAAATTGACTTACAATCTTACATGTTAAAGCGCCTTAAAATTTTCTTCAAATAATTCTCCTGAGAAAGCCAAATTTTCCTATTAATTCTTTCTCGATAAATTTGTATCCCTAAAATCTTATTTGTAGATCCTAATTCCTTTATTTCAAATTTTCTAACCAACTGTGTCTTTAATTTTTTAATATGATCTTTGTTGGGGCCTGCAACCAACATGTATTCAACATACAATAATAAAATAACAAAATTATTTTTACCAAACCTCTTGAAATATGCACAAGGGTGTGAATTAAGTCTATTATATCCAAGGCTCATGATAAATGGATTAAATCTCTTGTACCAACACCTCGGCGTTTGCTTTAGACCGTACAAAGATTTATTCAATTTACAAACCGAGTTCTCTTTTCCTTTTTCTTCGAAACCTTCTGGTTAGAGCATATAAATTTCTTCTTCAAGATCTCCATGAAGAAATAATGTTTTGACATCTAGCTGTTCTAGATGTAAGTCAAATATCACGCCCATAGCCAGGAGTATTCGGACTGTTGTAAATCGAACTATAAGAAAAAATATTTCATTAAAGTCATTACATTCTTTCTAAGCATATCCTTTTATTACCAATCTTTCACAATATTGCTCCACCTGGTCATCTCCATTTCGCTTGATCTTGTACCAATAGCATTCCTTCCTTGTAGTAGTGATACAAGTACCCATGTTTTATTCTTATGGAGAGCTTTAATTTTTTCCTGTATTGCTGTCATCCACAAAGATACATCTGTGATGTTTATAGCTTCATGAAAAGTTGATGATTCTCCATCCTCCGTTAGAAGACAGTATGCAACATTACTCTCCATAATATACTCTGAGTGCCAAGTCGGTGGTCTTCTCTCACAAGTTGACCTTTAAATTTCTGGAGCCTCAGACTCGACTGGTTCTTGTACATCATACTCTGGTGTTGCTTCAGAAGAATTTAGATCATTTTTCACTTGAACAGCTATAGTCTCTGAGTTCTTCCTCGAATAACTTTCTTTCTCTTTACTTTTTAGTTGGTTTCCTACAAAGATAATATCTCTGTGGACGATAACCTTACAGGTAGTTGGATCCCACAAGCGATACCTCTTTTCTCTGTCAGTATACCCCAAGAATATGTATTTTCTGGATTTTAAATCTAGCTTTGTAATTTCTTGGATATTGTACATTACGTACACTGGACTTTCAAATTTATGAAGGTTAAAATAATCAGCTGTCTTATTGATCCACATCTTCATCAGTATCTTTAACTGTATTACGGTTGATAGAGATCGATTCACCACATAACAGACGGTTTTTACTACTTCCGCCCAAAAGACTTTATCCTGATTTACAATTGCCAACATTGCTCTTGTTCTTTTCAACAGAGTTCTGTTCATCCGTTCCGCCAATTTGTTTTGTTGATGAGTATAAGCAGTATTGAATTGTCTTTTGATTCCTTCTTGCTTGCAGAATATAAAAAATTCGCCGTCTGTGTATTCTCCTTCATTATCTGACCTCAAGCACTTGATCTTCTTTTCATATTCAAGCTTGACTCACACTTTATAGGCTTTAAAGATTGAGAACACATATGTATTCTTCTTGATAGGATACATCCAACATCTCCTGGAGTAATCATTAATAAATGACACAAAATATTTTGCTCCTTCCATAGATGTATCTGGTGCTTTCCATGCATCAGAATGAGCCAATTCCATAATAGCATTGTTTCTAGAACTCGATATGTTGAACTTCAGCGGATGCTGCTTATTTATAACACAATGCTCGCAGAATGAAAGGTCTACTGAATTAAGTTCAGGAAGCAGCTTCTGATCGGAGAGAATCTTCAAGCCTCGTTTTGACATGTGACCTAGTTTGCGATGCCACATCATGATTTGTTCTTTCTATGGTTAGTTGATGCCACACATAAATCAGCTTCCTGTA